GTGCCCTGGTTTTGGTTCCTTGGAGAACAGCCTCTACCCTCTGGCTGGGCTGGTTAGATATAGGGTGCAGTGCACTCCAGTGAAGAAATGCAGTTAGGTAAAATACTTACCTTTGCTTTGACCCAAAATATTTTATTCAAGGAAAATTGTCTTCGGCAATCCCTCCAAAACTGGGAGAAAGCAAGATACTGAAATAAAGAGTTTCCTACAACATAGAAACTCTGTTTTTCATTTGTCTCAATTCCTGTTCTGCGCCCCAAACTGCTGTGCCTTGTTGCTGCTTTTTTTTTGGTACAAAAATAGTTACATGTCATCTTCAGGGTGAAGGGGGATACATGCTTGGAGATCAAGGTTGTTTGGTTTGGGGTTTTGGGGTTTTTTGTATGTTTGTTTGTTTGTTTTTGAGAAATTATTCTGGGTGTTTAAATTCATAAGTGTTCAGGGCACAAGTCTCACTTTCAGTCAGCAGTTCCAATGAACTTAAAACAGAAATTAGGGGCCTAATTAGTTATCAAGAGAAGACTTTCTAATTGTCCTAATTAGTAGACTAACAGGTCTAAGTCAATTCTGTGCTGAAGTCTTGATAGATATGGTAAGAACTATCTGAATTTCAAAGTAACTTTCAATTTATTTTAAACAGAAATTTGTGTGTCTATATGTAAGAAGAATATTATATTTTAATTTTTTTTTCCATGTCTGACAGATCTTAGGATTCCCAGGTATCATTGTTTCTGGTTGGATTGTATAATTTTGGAGGGGTATTGTTTTGTTTTCTTAAGACATGATCCAAAAAAAAAAAAAAAAAGAGATAAGTAATATGTTCTATTCACTGAATAGAGATGCTGAAAATGTTGAAGAGATTTTCTGAAAGCTTTCTAAGATTAGCTTTATAATGGATTCTTTAGATTAAAAAAAAATAATAAATCCAGGTTTTAAGTAAGCATTGCTTTTATGCATCTATAATGTGTCAGTAAGAACAACACTATTAACCAAGTCAGGCTACTACCAGTTTTCATACCAGTCATTTTATATTTAAGTTATATTTATCATGTGCTGAATGTCATACACACATGGTAGGATGCTTGTCTTTTCCTGAAAATCTTAGTCACTTGCAAAGAAAAAAGCATTTTATTTGCTGAAGGCTGAATAGGCCCTTCAAACATCTGCACACTGTTAAACAATCCAGAAAACCCCTTCTACACAGTCACTGAGCCTTTTGTTTTTTAAGATCAACCTCTTCAATCTGGAGATAGGAAAGGACTTATTTTTGTACTTGTATCACAGAGGAGAAAAAGGAGCAGCTTGTTAGTAGCTCTCATTTGGACTGTAGTCACTGCAGCCTCACTAAGATCTTCTATTGCATTTCTTCATCTCAGGAGAGAGAGGAACACCTCGTTCCCCACATCCAAGCCTCTTGGTTTAAAGAAACAAATACTGAGCTGGAAATCCAATAAAATGAACTCCCTCCCCTTTTAATTCCCATCAAATACAGAGAGAAAAAATGCAAGAAGGTATACATGAAAAAATAGCAGCTTACTGACAAGGAAATAGCAGCAAAAACAATTCCAACAGAACGGTTCAAATCAACGACAGAGAGAGAAATCGCTCCTGGTCCCCCTGCCCTTGCACTCGCTTTTGTATACAAACAAAACCAATGATCGATATGTGCTTCCCTGCTCCGCTTTCCTCTATGGGGGAACAAAGAATGAAAAGTAAAACGAGGGGAAAGAGGGGAGGCAAAGCAAAATCTGGAGAGCCAGTTCATTTCAATGGGGCGTTGTTCTGCTGGAATGCTGGCTCGGCGATGGCAAGGACTGGCTCTCGCCCTGCCCACAGCGCAGCGCTGCTGGACTGCAGCGTTTTCCCGGGCTCTCCAAGGCTCTCCTGGCGGCAGCGGGTGGTTCGGTAGCAGATCCAGGCTTGGTGGGAGTAGTGGGGTCCAGCGGGCCCGGGAGTGGTGGGAGCAGCGGCCGAGACCCCAGCAAAACGACGGCGCTGCGTGGGCTCTCTAGGCACCAGCCTCCTGTGATCCACGGAAGAGAAGTAGTTTTGTTCTCCCTTTAGGTCTTTCTTATTTCTTCCCTTCCCTTTCCAGCTCAGGATGGAAGGGGGAGCGGGGCGGGGAGAGGGACGGGGGTGGGTTCGTTCTTAAAGATGCAGTCCTCTGAAACAACACTGAAAAAAAGGGAATAAAATACAAAAACCCTCTCATAAGTATGACACAAGTGCAGTCCCAGGTGCTGGTTTGTATGGAGGACCTGGGGTGGTGGAGGAAGGAAGCAAGAACTCAAATTGTGGCCTGTTGAAAAGCTGGACAAAAAGTGTCCACCATGCAGCATTGTTTTATTTAGGCTTGGCATGGTTATTTTGATCACGGAGCTATGATACAGTGTCAATTAATGCTTATCCAGCATCCAAGTCCACCTGTATCCATGTATTGATAGCAACCATTAATCCTTGACACAAAACCTTAGGAGGTAAGGCAAAAAGGAGGCACAGGATACGATCACAGAGGCCACGCAGCCTCTTCTAGAGACAAGGAGGCTAAGAGCTACCCACGAAGTACTTGAAGGACAGAACCAAACTCTTTTCAGTAGTGACTGTACCAAACAGTGAGGGCTTGTCTGCTGTAGCTATCTGTGCCATCCTGTCTCCTGGAAAGACCTTGAGCCTATGTTATAACCTTATCTCTGGCCCTATCTCCTCACCGAGCTGTCTGGATGGACCCTGAAGCTGATTCATAACGTAACCTGGTTAAAGGCTGTTAATGGAAACTGTTCAAGTTCTGTGGGACTGTGCCAGAGGGGTAGAAGCTTGAAGGCACTTCTTGCAGTGTGATGACCCTCAGTCCCTGGTTTGTCCTTCCTTGGAGAGCAGTTTCTTCCCATATCCATTGTTGATTCTTGATGTTTCATGGACCTCTGTTTTTACAGCCAGAATTGACCAATTGTACGATATACTCAGACTTTCTCTTCAGAGAAAGGAATATAAAGGTTTACCTTTATCTGGTTGAATCTTTGACAGTAATAGCCTTTCACTGACTGACTGTATTTAAATGCTTCTGGGGATTTCTTCACCTCAGGTATTTCCCTTGGTTAAATAGAAAGTGGGGCTCAAATCATGTTGGATTTCTATTTAGAAGTTTTAAGACTTTAAGTTAGTCAATTACTATATTGCAGAATACTTTATATTTTAAATTATATTTATTACAGGATGATTTCTGTTTGTTTTGAATTTTGCCACTTCATGCTATAATTCATCTTATGGTTAAAAAACACACACACAAAATCTTACTCAGTAGCTGTTGCTGCAATTGGTTTGAGCATTGCAAACAGTCCTTATTCTTTCATGAGAGTGGGTTTGGATACCCAGCAATTGGTTAAATGTAACATTAACCATTTGGCTGCTGATCAAAGATGTTTGAAAGCAGAGGAAATCTGCAAATTTCCAAAGTAGAATTAAACTGTGCTGAATGAATTATCATATTGGTGTCATGAAGCACTGATGCCTGAGGAAATTCAATCACTTCTCTTTTCTTTCATATGTGTCTTGGAAAGCCAGAAAAGAGCAGCACAGAGACAAACAAAGAAATAATCACTCCTCCAGAAAATGGTAAGATATACTAGTCCTGCAAATATATATATATATGTATGCTGTACTGTGAGTATTTTCAAAACTGATTTCATTCATAGACAGAGCCTAGGACAGCAACACAATATTCCTTTCTCTTCATAAATCTTGTTTTATAAGCTCTATTGCCCTTGTTTTTCATAGCAACAGGCAGCAGGGCATAGTAAAGGCCAACCTTGTGCAGGTGACAGGGTGATAGATCAATGTCTTCTGCAAAAGCACTGCCTTTGGAAGTTCAGTTGCACCCAAGGCCTGTGCAGTTGCTCTGTCAGACCTGCAGCAACTCCCTGAATTATTTACATGGGAGTTGCGTCCTCATCATCCCCAGATCTTAAGTGTTTATTTACATGCCACTATGGGCAGAAATTCATGCTATCTTTCCTCTGCTGAAGTCTCATCTACAGTCTAGACCTCAGCTTAGGAAAGCCCATAACTGGGTGCCAATGGGTCCAAAGACATACCAAGCTTTAGGCACCATGGCTTTAAAATCACAACTTAGAAAAATTAAATTCTTAGCTGAATAATAATGCGGACAGTACTTCATTGTTGCAAACACATCTTAACAGGTAAGGTTCAATACATATTCCTGAGGAAGAGATGATCTGAAAGAGAAGGTAATAGTGGAGCCACCACTGTAAGTCTTAATGCTTTAGGATGGGAGGTAAGGCTGTTGCTGCTGTTGAAAAGCAGGAAAAGCTGAAAGGTAGACATAATTATCCTGGAATTTAGTCACGTTAAAAAGTGCACATTTTAAGATTTAAATCATCAGGATCTTTGTCTACACCATTGGCACCCGAGTGACACCCTCGTGTCCTTGCTCCTGACAGGAGTTCGGCAGGGCAGGAACTGGGCACCACCTTGTAGGGCCATCTCCCGATCAGGTACCTCAGCTCCCTGCGCCAGGCTCCCACTGGGGTGGTGGGGAAGACCCTTTCTTTGAGGCTTTCCTCTGTGGATTATGGGTGTTACCCACCCAGGTAGTTTCGTCTGACAGTGCTATGTTTCTTAATATGTCATGCTATTGGGAAAATTCTCAGAAAGACCAACATCACTTTAAAGTGCTTTAATCCACCATTTACCGAGGTGACGTGGCTGTTTTGACGGCTGACTGACCATCAGGAGAGTTCGGTAAAAGCCGTGACTTTTAGGCCAACGATTTGCTTGATTTTTTTTTTTTTAAGATACATTTTAAAATATTGTTTTAAATTTATTTTTTTTTTAATTTTAAATTGACTTGGGAGAGGCCCCCGGCGAGGCCTCTCCTTCCCCCGCAGACGGCAGGTGGCGCCATGGCGGCGGGAACCGCTGTGGCGGGCAGCGGGAGCCTCCGCCGGGCCCCGCGGGACCTCGGCACCGGGGAACCTGGGACACCGCCGGGACATCGCCGGGACACCCCTGGGACACCTCCGGCGGTTCCCCTTCGGGAGTGCTGCGGCTTCGCAGCGGGCCGTGGCTCGGAGAAGCCGGAGCGCTCTCAAGGGACGCTTGAGGCTGCGGTGTTGTTTTGGGATCTGAGGGTGTCGGTCACTTGTGAGTTTGGCTGGTGCTTTTTGGTACCACACAGGCACGGTGCGCATCTGCCTCGAGCCTTGCAGGTCCTGCACACCCCTCCCTGACATCTCTCCCAACACACACTCCCACCCTCCATCTTGACCCCAGTGAAAACCGTGGCATTTCCATCTCAAACTGGGCTGCATCCGTTCAAAACCAGTGGAGAACTTGTAGAAGGAAAACGTATGGTGGGTCTGTTTTAGGAAGACAGGCTTCACTTTTGGGAGAGGGGAGAGAAAGGGAAGAATAGATGTTTTAATTTTTCTGCATTAGAAAGGAAACCTCAACCTTGTTTCATGTGTGTGTCTACCTGCAGGCAGCTTTTCCAGCCCCCCCGGACTCCTGCCCTCCCACACCGTGGTTGTGGTTGCCATTTCCTGCTGTCTGTTCATCTGTTCAGGCCTCGGGCTTTGCTGTTTTCTTACCAATTGTAGTTTAAAGCCTCACTCCACGGATTTCCTAGGATCAAATTCCGCTTCCCTCACACCTCCCAGGGTGCAGTTTCTGCTAAGCTGGAGCAGTTGATCAGTCACCAAAACATTAAGGACCTTCCTTGTAGGACAGTAGAGCAGAGAAGCCATGACACAGAGCAGGCCCAGAGGGATTTGCACAGTTCCTTCACAACCACAGCTGTTCATGGTCTTCCCTCATCTTTGTCAGAGCCTTGTGGAATGCTCTGACACAGGGATGTGAAGTGTCCTGCGTCAGTCCATTTCCAAACATTGTGCTCTAGAGTGTTTATGTGATGCAGTTTCCTCTGCCACACAGAACCTGATGGGTGTTTGCCTAGAGCTGGATATCCTGCAGCATGAGGTGAACGAGTGATGGTTTTTCTCATACCCTGAGTGGTGGTTTGTGTCTGCCTATGCTCTGGTGTCAGTGTCAGTCCAGCTGCTGTCACTTCCACCAAGAGGAGCAGCCCCCTACCTGTTGGCAATATCCTTTGTGTGATTGCACAGTGACCTGATCCAGCTGAGAGCCAGGAAAAAAAAGAAGTGCAGGGGGGCAGGGGGAAGTTAGTTTTCAATGGGATCGGTTCCTTGCTCCAAACACTTGCACAAGCGAAACAGAAGACTTGGCCTGGGAACAAGAAGAAACAGCGTGGGTACAGAGGGAACACAGTGTCCACATCAGCTAAAACTGATACTGGTATCATGTATGTTGAAAAATACCCTGAGGGCTCTTGATATGAAAGTTGTTGAGACATAATCTTCCACACCTAGACACTTCTGAACTTACCTGGTAAGCTAGAAGTAGAGGAGCTGGTAGTGGTGGTATCATCACACCTTCACACAGTTTTGGTTTTTTTTTTCTTGAAATACACCACCTTTTACAGGGAGGGAAGGAGGGAGGAAGGAAGGAAGGAAAGAAGGAAAGAAGGAGAAACATCACAAACCAAAATTCACAGGTTTTAAAATATGGCCATTATGTTCCTGGGTTGTTTTTCTAGTGCTGCACCATTAAATGGAGAAGTCTTTTCCACTTCCCTTTCCCCTCTCCTCTTCCTGTGGCAAAATACAGATGGACCTTAAACGGTGGGGGGGGGGGGGGGGGGGGAAGGTGCCCTGTTGATTCTTATGAAGATATTGCTTTTGTTTTTTTTCTTTGTTACTAGATTATAGGATTGAAAACAGATGTTTCTTTTCTTTAAAACATGCTGTATAGCTTGTCTAAACATAAGGAAAACAGCGTTTCTCCAGACAATGCTAAGTTCCATCCAAGGTTGGAGTCATCTTTATCATGAGGCAGTTGCACTGTAGTAGATACTTGAATGAAATGCGCATCCAGACTCCTCCAACATCACAGTTCAGAATTTAGTTGGTTTCTGTTTCCATTAAAAGCTTGTAATTTCCAAGATTCTCTAAAATTATTAAATGAACGAGTAAAAAGGGGAGATGGGGGACACGTGTTCATCTGCCTGCCTGTCTTTCCTTCATGCAAAATAAATGCATGCTCACTTGTTTCAGAAAAATTGTTTGCTAGAGATCTATCTACCAGACAGTGGTTCACATGTAGGGAATACCTTTTGCAGATTAAGAGCTTTTTCTAATGAGTGAAAGCAGACAGTGGACTTTGCTTTTTAATCTAGGTAGACTTTGCTGTGAGATTTTGTCACACTTATTTGTTAGTTGGGATCCTCTGTTTTCAGAGGAAGGGTTCTTGTTGGGCACATGGGAGTACCAGAGTGGACACTGGTTTTGTGAATAGGAATGCTGGGGACACATGGCTATTGACAGATTGGAGACACTGAGTCTTGCTTGGCCAAAGTATCAGTGCACTGGTAGGAAAAATTCAAGTCCAAATCAATGTGCTTATGTAAACTCATTTAGCAGTTGTGTTTCTCCACAGGATATTCCTGAAAGTTTGCAGGGAAATAGCTTTGGCTTTTATTTAGAGCTAATTTCTGCTAACAAGAATAACCTTTGTGCTTTTACTTGCTTATGTGTAAGTCTGGAAAATCTTGATTCCTGAGCAAGTAACATGGATTAAAGCAATAACATTTCTGGCCGAAACAGCTGTCAGTGGCCAGGTGCTACTCCAATGGTGCTTGATGACAGTGATCCTTTTCCCCTCATCTCAGCATTTTTGGATGGCAGTCATGTGGCCCCAGAGGCCACGCTGTAGAAGCTAATCCACTGCCCAAGGCATCTGCTCCTTGGCAGGCTCTGTGGACATCTGCATAGGTGGATCTACTTTCTGTCACATGGCCAGGTACCTGGGGGCGCAGCGAGGGACCTGCTTTGCTGGGTTTTTTTTTCTTTCCTTTTGGTTTTCTGGAGCTTCCTGAATAAACCAAGGGCGTTTTCTTCATAAGGAATTGGCTGTACATTGCATATGTCCCTCTATTGTTCATGTTGGGAGAAACTGCACTGAAACAGGATCTTTGTTTCTGGCACCCCTGTCTCTCTCCCTGTACTCAGGCTGAAATCATAGCCCTCTCTGGGAGTCGTTAACATTGGTTACTCTAGAAGCAATTGTGTTTTTGTATGCAGCTGTTTATAATTTCAGGTCTGTGAGGGAACGAGCGATGAACTTAGAGAAGCAAAGCTACTTGGGAGACTTTGTGCTATTTGCTGGAAAGAAGTAAGGAAACATTGGGAAAATAAAACAGCCGGAAGGCAGGGAGGTATTGCACGAAGTGGGTAGTTGCAAAATGAACCTTATAAGGTTCATAAGATGCTTGGTCTCACCAAGTTTAGAGGACTAGAACTAGAAAGGCATACTAGATGATCGCATTTTACACTAGCTTGAGTCAGGGAGCGGGATGAAACAGTTTTGTAAGTCTTGTAATAAGCTATGAGGTGGTTAAAGCATTTGCTGTCGTTATTTTTAGGAATAAAGAAGTCTTCCCCTGTTGTTGTTCACTAGCAGGATGGCAGCATTCACCTTTCCTCCCACTTTCCCAGGCTGATCTTCTGCCTGATCTTCCTTCCTGCTCCCAAGGCTCAGCTCCTCTCGTTTTCATCACAGGTTACACACAGTCCTTCCCACTCCTTTCAGTGAGGTGACAGATGGCACATGGCATTGGAGTTGTGTGCCTAATGATTTTTACCTGCTGCTTTTTGCATCCTAGGAAGTATTCCTCCAGGCTTTCCAGCATTGCTGTTGTAGTGTGGGACCCTCACAGGCTGCAGTCACTCAGGGGTGTCTCTGGCTCAGTGAATGTTGCCTTCTTGAAGAGAGCGTCTTCAGCCCTCAGCATTTTCTCCATGTTCTCCTAATACTCATCTTCACATATCTTCTCACAAGTCTTTTCCATGTTTTTCCTGCATCTTTTTATCTGTATACAGTTCTGTGTCACTTCTCTCCTAATGGCTGCAATTCATGCTTAAATATGAGTGGAGGTGCCACATGCTCCTTTGGTTGGAGTTTTGACTCACTGTGGGCTGGTCCCATCTGTTTCAAAGCCACAGGATGTGGCTGTGAGTGGCTCAAGGCACAGTGGCTCAAGCCCTCTCTGTGGGCTCTACGCACAGAGGCAACCCCCACAGCTCCTGACACTGAAACCCTGCCAGTTTTGCCCAATTTACCTCCTTTTTGTCTCTGCCTATCTCTCGCAGTGTGTTACTGGATTCTATCTCTAGGTTATCTCAGGATTTACTTCCAAGCAACATTACTTTTGAAGTATTGATGGTTGTCTTGCATGGGCTACATACTGGAAAAATGTAGACTTTTTTTCCCCCCCTTAAACCTTTGTTCCTGGAATCACATGATTAAACTATCACTTTATTTTTAACGTGAACTCATAGCTCTTGTGCTTAAAGAGGAAATCTTCAAAATGTAGATTGTAGAAGGCAAATATAAAAAGAAATATTATGGGAATTATTTTTGTGTCTTAGCTTTTGGAGCCAGTTCATAATGTGTAAGCCCTAAGGGTTTGAAATACCAGAGAAGAAGTTGCTTCTCTGTTGTCTCCATATCTGCAAAACTGTAATGATCTCTGTAACTCTATCATGTTGGACAGATTCACAGAATGGGTAAGGTTGGCATCCCTGCTTCAGCAGCATCATCCTAGAGTATATGGCACAGGATTGTGTCCAGACAGTTGTGGAGTATCTCCAGTGTGGGAGACTTCACATCCTCTCTGGGCAGTCTTTTTCAGTGATCGGTCGCTGCACAGTAAAGAGATTCTTCTTCATGTTCAGGTGGAACTTCCTGTGTATCAGTTTCTGCCTGTTGCCTCTTGTCCTATTGCTTGGCATCACCGAGAAGAGCCTGGTCCATCTCCTGACACCTCCCTTCAGGTACTGATAGACCTTGATGAGGTTCCCTCTCAGTCATCTCTTCTCAAGGTTGAACAGGCCTAACTCTCTCAGCCTGTTCTCATAAGAAACATGCACCAGTCGCTACCAAGTATGGTAGTTTAATTTCAGCACATTTTTGTCTGCTTAGGTCACAGCCTACAGTGCTCTACGAATTACTAGTTGAATAGATACATGCACAGTGATAAGAATAGACTAGCTGCAAAGCATAGTCTGCAGCAATGAAGAAGAATCTGGATTTAAAAGAAAAAATGCCACTAATGTTACTCTTTATAGAGAGTATTGTGGAAAATTAAATTTTTCAGAATCTCTGAAAATGTAAACTCTTAATTTTGAGTCTTTTCTGCAAGACATTTTTCTTAAGAAATAGCTAGTTCTGTGTTTTCCCCCATAACACTATCTTCACCTTCCTTTGGCAAGTTCAAAAAATGCTTCATGTACTGTCAAGCATAACTCAGCTGCTCACTCATTTCAGCTCCTTAGTTTAATAACCTCAATACAGCCAAACCTGTCATCTTCTAATGCTAAAGTCAGAAACTATTGACCAAGAAACTGATTTCCATTCCAGGGATGACCACAACTACACTTCAGACTTCCTGCAGACCCATGGAAATGAATCTTTTAAGTCTATGGTTTGCCCTCGAGATTTTTGTCACATGTTGAAGCCTTGACCATCCAAAGAGTATAAACCTGTATAAAACTGTATTTTACACACAGTGCATAAAGTAGAAGGCACACATCAGGCTGCTTTCAACTACTACTTTTTGCTGGACAGAAAACCACCACAGCTCAGCTTGGGGCCTTGCAGGGGAACATCAACACAAGGGTAAGTGTTCATGAATAAACATAATGTTGTCAGATTTTCCCTGCTCCTCCTCAGGGGATTGTTATGACTATAGCAGAGGCTGTAGAAGCAACCTCTGGATAAGGAGGGTTTGTGTTCCTTTTTTCACTACTTAAAGACACCTCAAAGAATTATTTATTCCTGATAGCCACAGGGGTGTGGCAGCCTCACCTTGTGTTTCTTAGGTTCCTTGGCTTCAGCCTCTGTATGCCTTTGGATGGGAACACCACCCCTTCCTGCAGGTGTGATGGGATATTTGGAAAGACAGATGTGAAGGCATGGAGAAGTGTGGCTGGATCAGAATTCAGCAAAGCTGCTGAAAGACCACTTGGAACAGTTGCAGTGCCTTGACCCAGTGAGATAGATCTGTGTAGTTCATTTGGATGTGTGGAGAGGGAAGTCAAGCTTGAAACTTAAACCTGGAGCTGTGTGCTGCATGCAAGTAAGCAAGGAGTGCTTTTCAAGGGTGGAGAAACCAATTTGAAAGGTTGTGTTATAAAAATATAGGTGTCAAGTGCTATATTTGCCACTCCTGGTCAAGGCTAAATGCATTTTACAGTGTTCTTAAAATTGAGGCATTTGATTTAACATGGTTAATGGATTTGTGTGTCCTCAGTCTGCCATGAACTGACTTAAAACCAGGACAATTCCGACGTATAAACAAGACATAAAAAAAAGGAAAATATAAAAAATCTTAATAGGCTGTGTCTCTTCTTCATCTTTAGTTAGTCAAGAATTATTTCCTGTGTGCAGTAGGTGTGGTCCATTATAGAACATCAGTGCAGCAGAAAATCTTTTTCAAATATGAAGCATGAAGGGAGAGGGGGAGCATACTGTCCTGAGTATTACATGCTGACAAAGAGATCATTTGTTCCAACTTCTAGAATCAATTAAAACTATGGAAAATAATCTGTGTGCTCATACGAAAAAAAGAAACAGTATGCTAAGGCATGCTTTGGAAACTTTGGGAAGTTGAAGTCAGACTTGCAATTTCTGAAGCCCTGATTCATGGTTCCTGAATGTGTAGAATTGCTGATTTCAGAGATTTGACCCATGAAGCGTGAAAGGCAAGTCATCTCCTGACTCTCTGGTGAGGCATGTCTTGCTTGTGCCTCATATTAGAAGCCCAGAAGCTCCATGTTCCCAGTGTACGGGGAGGGGAGAGGTGTCTGCATTTTGTCAATTCTTTTTTTAACATCTCAAAAGCTATCAAGGCCCTGATTTCTGCCTTACTTCTTCCTCAATACCCATCTTCCATGTAGACCTTGCAGCAACAAGTCAGTCTGTGAGTCAGCTGCAAATATCACCAAGCTCTTCCACATCCTTGCCGATGTCCAGGCTGTTTCCAAACACTAGTCATCAAAGGAAGTCTTTATTTCCACAGCAGTTAAATGACTAAGCCAAGATCAAACAGTGGGTCAGTAGCAGAGGCGGGAACTGAAATCAGGTCTTCTGACTCAAGTTTCTCTTGGCTACAGCCTCTGGGTTACACAGCAGAATTCATTTGTGCTGTAAGTTTCAACAGTTGCTGAGACAAAACTTCATTTTCTTTCCCTGAGATATCATATCTATGTCATCCTGTTCTCTGCCTGCTAGGATGCAGCTTCTTAGCATTAGACTTTAAAAAGGGAGGCAAGCAGGAGGTGTTTCTAAGTGGTTTCACTCTTTTGATCGAAGAGAGAGGTGAGCCAGAGTGTGTTCCAGTGACCTCCTGCTATATAAAAGCTTGGCCTGCCTGACAGGACTTCTGGCTGCTGAGTAGCTGTGAGTCACAGCCTTTACTGCTTTAGTTTGGTGCAGATTGTTACACCAGACACTGCAGAAATGAGGTGGCCTCTTGAATATTTGCACTGCTTGGCAAGCTAGGGTAAATGGGAGTGGATTCAGGAAGTTCTGGCAAGGGCAAGCACAGCTGGTGTTAAGGCCTTTGCAGGGCTCCTTTTGTGTGTGTGTGTGTGTGTGTGTGTGAGTGTAGGAAAATAGCAAGGCCTCTGGAGTTTTTTTCCAGCCAGGGTTCCTGGGAAAGGATGAGTAATGTGGAGATTTCCTGTGACTTTTGGAGTGAGGAAAAAAAACACATAGCCTTTTGGGGGAATCTTCTTGGATCTTCCACCATCCTACTTTTTCCCTGAGTGGCACAGAACGCCTCTCTCCTGGGCTCAGTGCTGCTTTGTTTATCACAGCAACACGAGCTATGGTGTGCAAATACTGTGCTCTGCCCTTGTTTGCCTGGACAGTCCAGGATCTGATCTGTACAATTCCTATTTCCTCCTTGTGGGTGTGCTTTGGAACTTAGCTCCATGTAGGCAACAGTTACCAGTGGTCAAGGTGTGCCTGGCCTGGGATACTGGGAGTATTTCCCTTTCATGACTGAAAGGATCAGGGAGGGAGCCTGTAAGGGAGGGACTACGTGGCTGCAGAGTGTTTTGCACAGCAGCTGGCATGGCTTGGGTTCAGGTTCAAGACTGAGTCAGCTGGGTGCTGTTACAGTGTAAATTACTAAATAGGAATGACAGAAGAGATGTGGGGGTTTCCTGTTGGCAGAGGTATAAAGGAGTGAGGTACCTCAACTCTGAATTTATTACTATTTATTATTTCACTTGCAATACTGCCTGGAGACTGCCTTCAGGGACAAGTGCTCTGTTGTGCAAAGTATGTGCATGCAGGAAAGACTGAGCCATTTCCCACCCTGAAAAAGGGTGTTCTCCAAGTTGTTTGAGCTCTTTGGGGGTGGAGATACTGCAGTGGTACAGGAGCCAGAGTGTAAAGTAAGGAGTGCTGCTACAACTGAGAGCTGTACACAGGCAGTTTAGACATCAGGTGTATGTCCAAAGATCTGCTTCTATTATTTCTGTATCCTCATCACCAGTATTTGGCCACGACATTCTCTAACTAGTATGTCTTGATGTGTGCTTAACCATTTCATGTTCTGAGTGCTTTACAAATATCGTGTAATTAGGAAAATAACTCTGTATTTGCACAGGCAGTTACACAACCTCATGTTCAAAATTCAGCTTTCAGAAATGTAGCCTCAACTGAAATTTCCTTATCTGCTTCTAACTCTCCCAGTTGCTCTTGCCAAAATGATTTTTCATCCCCTCAACCCCATAACTGACTGTGATGATGGTAATAAAATGAGTATAGCCTGGGCAAATAAACTGCTTGCCTCTGCAGTGTAAAATGTAAGACTGGTAAAAGAAAGTAAGGGCTGATAGAGAGTACATGTTTTGGATTCCAGCGTCAGTCCATTTGCTAAATATGCTGGTTTTTGTAGAAGAAAATCAATGCAAAAGAAGGGGCTGCATCTCCCAGTGCCTGATCTGCAGTTGCTGAAGCCAGAACCATGGACTCAGGAGCAGCCCAGTTGCTTCACTTTCCCACAAGCCTTGGTGTTGGGGCCAGGGAAGGATTGATCCCTATGACTGCCTGTATGAAGTGTGAGCCATTGACACAAAGCTCAAGACTTATCTCCCTATCAAAATCCGGGGTATTTTTGTTTGGTTTTGCCTTTTTATTTTTTTTTCCTTCTCCTCTCTCTCAAAGGTTAAATGGTTCCCACAGGGTGCAAGAAAGGGTTATTGAAAGCAGCAGGTCCACTTCTGAATATTGCACTTCTGGTAAATCTCTGATCCAGCATCTAGTGGTTAACCACTGATACAGGAAATGACATTTAACATTCTATCACTCAGCCAGAAATGGAAGAACAAGGCAAGTCTGTATGTGGTGAAGATGGATCATTGCCTGCTATCTATCCCTTAAAGGCATATCATGCCATTTAAAAGGAAATGTTTTTCAAGCAGGGACTTTTTTTCCCTCTTTGTGTACCTTTCTGCTTAAGGCATAGTAAAAAGCTGGAAAACAAATCCCCTTCTTCCTCCTTCCGCGAGGTTTCCCCTGCTAAAATAGGGGCTATGGCCTTATAAACAGCTTAAATACTTTTTCCTGCTCTTTGGTATCTTTTGGAAGTGTATCCCAGGCCCTAGTGGAAGCTGGGGCGGGGTGGGGAGGTGGGGGGAGGGATGCGCGGCGGGCGAGTGGTGGAAAATTCGGGTTTCGGTAGGTGGCACTCGCTGCCCTGACTCAGGGCTCAGCTCTCCCGGGCATGATGTGGTGCTGCCTTTGGTCCGAGCAGTCCTGAGCAAATGTGCTAAAGGAAGAAAACGATTTAAAAAAAAAAAAAAAGGTCATCAAAATACAGGGCCGGAACCTCAGTAAGTATAAATTGTTGTTTGCTGACTGCAGTGTAGGTGCATTGGTTCACAGCAGCAGCACTTGCCTGTTGTCAGCACAGGCTAACCACAGCAGGCGTGCTTTCCATCAGAGCTGCTAAAACTTGGTCTGATTACAGAGTGCATATTCAGGAAGGAAGCAAGCTGGCAAGTAAGTACGGTCCAACTAAATCTCAAAAGGTGTCGGGTCTACCTATATAAATTCTAACAGTTTCAGATGTTTTCACATGGAGTGAAAAAAAATACCCCAAAAGATGCAGGAAGACACTTTCCTCCTGCTAATAGGATATGTGGGCAAACACTTTGGTGTTTTAGCTGTTCCAGAGGCCATTTTCACCTAATGACACACTGTGAGTATGTTTTCCAAAGTAAGAGCTTCACAGGTTGCCAAAACTTTCCTGGAAGTGAGCACAGAAATACATTAGAAAGCAACATATTAAAGCTACACCAGTCCTCCTCATCTGCGGGGCTGCATAACATGATTTTCATGAGCCCAAGAGCAGCAAGAAGCAAATGCTTTAGAGCCAGTGGGTGGTGGTGGCAGCAGAGACCTCCACGAGAAGAAGTTCAAAGGCTACGGATGATGGCAGCTCTCCAGAAGTCCTGCTGTTCTCTGACTTGGCTGGAAGTGAAGCAGGATGACTTGGATGCTGGAAAGCTGGCTTGCTCAGTCCTGCAGCAAGGATCTTGGATCCCACTAGCCATAACCTACCAGTACAGCACTCTTGCAGTTGAAGCACTGGCTTGCTCAGAGTGTTTGAAAGCCATCCTTGCAACATCACACTGGTAGATCAGGCAGAGAAAATCAAAAAGTCTGTGACCTAGAGACAAGCTGAGATTTGTGTTCAAATGCAGATCTGATGTGTATTGGTATGAACTGTAAATGGATAAAAGAGAAAAGTGTAGTTCTAACTCTCAGCACACTGTTCATTTAGAGTGCCCATTCCTCAGCCTCTTGCTAATTTTCCTTTCAGTTGTGGAAACTTGCTTGAATATAGAATGCAAAGTGAGAAAGCTGTGGAAGCTGCTAGTAGCATAGGGATAAGGGCTCTGGAGAAACACACATGCATCATCCACAAAGAGCAAAGATGCACGTGCATGTGTGAAACCAGATTATCAACCCTTAATGCTGCATATTTTTGAAACCGTTATGATGTATTTTGTGCATCTGAAAGCCCACCATGCTCAGGCATCCTGGTCTGTGTAGAAAAATCTTTTTTGTCCAGCCTTGCAAAGCAGTAGGGCACTGGTCCTGCCAGAAAGTCTGCAGAGACTTGAGCAGGTCTTTGACTCTTCTGAACGTTTTCCATGGAACAGTGACTGTCAGAATCAGAGCCTTGAGCTACACCTTGGGAAGTGCTAGTGTTTATCTCTACACTTGATTGCACCCAATTACTTGGTAAGAACATGTTCTTTGAAAAAAGATCTGGAGCTGGATCCTTCTCTCATTGTGACTCTGCCAGCTGCCGTTCCCAAAGCTATTTTTAATCAGACAAGCTTCTCCATCCCTGCCAAAAAACCCTCATAACAATTAATAACAATAAAATGAAGGCAGACTGGATAAATGAATTGTGCTGGCTCTATAAATCAGTTGCAAAGGAAGCTAGGGGAAGATCAGCACTGCATTGTTAATGTGCTGTCTTCCATTTTGCTGTAGCCTTGGTCTCCTAGTTCACACTTGGAACCTTTATGTTGTGCTGCTGGTCTGCACACTGCCTGTCTCAGGTAGGCCTGCAGGTGGGCACAAGTCCCTCTGCACAGTGTGTTGCTTTGGTTCGTCTTGTTGTGGCTGGGAGGTGGTATGAATGATCCTGCTTATGTGCCAGAGAGCTGCACCCGAAGTAGGCTTGGTGGTTAGGTTAATTCTCAGCACTGTCTTGTTGCAGCCTCTGGTGTGATAATTTGCCTGCAGGCACATGTGTCGCTGTGCTGTGATCCTGTCAGAAGTTAAGCCATCTTGGGCTGGATGAGAGTGTGGACAGGAGGCCTCCAAGGACAGGCTGGCACTGAAGCTGTTGCAGGCAGTGATCCCACGAAGCAGTAGGTGGTACTGTGCACTGTGCCAGCTGACAGGATGACGTGCTGTGGTGCTGCGGAAAGTTTCTTTGTCCAGGTACAAGCTGTTGTTGCTTTGCTCACACTTTTGTTACCTTTGTGGTAACAAAACATTTACTGGCAATTTTCAAATAAATAAATAAATAAATACTCTCAAATAAATAAATAAATAAATAAGCAAGCAAGCAAGCAAGCAAGCAAGCATAGGGGCATGAGTCCAAAGGTACTGTCCTGGAAAAGTCCCAGGCTGGGTGTCTGTATTTGGTTTGCTTCTTCCTGCTGGACAACATATTTTGCCTCAGCCCTGGCTCCAGACTGTTGCTCTTTGGCTGTTATTTCCTAATCCACAGCTGGAGGCCTTCTCTGGTGAGGAGACGCACAGTTTTAAGGGTTCTGGAAGGAAAGATAAACAGGAAATGGAAAAAGAAGAGGAAAAGATAGGAAAAAAGTAAATGAACAAACAACCTCACCTCCTCCAGCACAAAACCCATCCCCCAGAAGAGTGTCACTGCATCATAGACAGCAAGTACTACCTTCCCAGGCCTGTGGGGTGGCACACTCACTTCCTGGGGAGAAAAGCACTGGAGCTGCTCCATCAGCTCCTCAGCCAGCAAGCCCACCACAGAGATCACTGAGAAGAAAAGAATGTGAAAGCAGGGACAATAGGATAGCGACCTGAGAAGAGCCCTGGTGATCTGGCGGAAAAGAAGGAGAAAGCTGGCTTCTATTTCTCTTGCCTGTTAATCTCAGATCCTTAGGATCCATTTCTTAAGTGTGTCAGAGTGATGTTCATAGGACCCTGGCAGGTGATAAGGGTGAGGCAAGTGGCAAGCTTAGAGTAATGGTGCTCATCAAATAGGCCACTGCAAGGCAAAGGAGCAAAAACACCCTGTGCCTGCCAGCTGGGGAAGCAGCTAACTCTGAAACTGTATACTCAGAAAACTTATTTTGCTCACCTACCCAGGGTTTCTTATTATAATCTATGACACAAGTACAGATCTATTTCAGGTAGTGGTTTTCTCTTAAATGGGTGAGTATCAAGATATTTTCTACTGGAAGTGTATTGCTGTGAACATTAAAATTGACCTGCTTCTCCTGGGCTACTCTGAAGCTACCCATGGACCTTTCCCAACCTCTGTCAGACAGCAGCCACCAAGACAGGGTATTTCTGCACTGCTGGGGCTGCAGATGGGAGTGGATTCAGGGGTTTCTGAAGGGACCATGCTGTGAGTCTGCTAATGTGTGGCCATGTGGATCTCCTTGTCACACAGGTATTTCATCAGCATCTTAGCACTGCACTGCTGCTTCTCGACTGTTAGTGGGAACCAAATATGAAGCTGTTTTGGATGTATGTATCCAGCTGGCAAATTGCATCATAGTCATACTAAACATGTGCTTTGCTCTGTGCCTGTGCATAATCTCAGGTTTAAAGGTACCATTTGTTTCCATGAAGTGAAGCAATACATGAGTGGTTTTAAGGCTGGAGACTTAGTGTCTTAACTGTAGAGACCATACCTCAGAATAATTAAGGTGCTGAGCACAAAGGCATGCCCAACTGGCTGAGTCCTCTGCTTACATTTGACATATCATTCTTTTATTGGTAAGCTGGTGCTCCAGAAAGGCAGAAATGGATATGCAGTCTCCTTCACTGAATGCTTTAATAGTTGGTGTCATCTGCTCGCAGAGGTGCTCAGAAGACCTCAAAATACTAATCCCAAAAGGAATGTGAAATGACCAAGGTTGTCCGTATGTTTTAAGAGATGAAAACAGGTTTTTTTTGTGAAAGTGGTGAGAGGTAAACTGCTCTGATTTTGACTCAAGTGCTTTGCATAACTGGCACTGCAGCAAGCTCCGCCCACACATGAAGTTTGTGTGCAGACTCTGTGCAGCCACATGGGTCACCTCTCCTTTGGAGAGTCTCAGCTCCTGTCATCAGGTGTGAAACTCACACCATCCCCATTCAGATTAGTCCAAGATGGTAATCTAAGCTGTGAGGTCAAGGCCAGCCTACAACACCAGGACTGGACTGTAGTAGACTGGCAACAGGTTGGTGTGGAGTGGGTGTATAATCACAGAGCACAGGGTTCAGTGACAAATTCAGGCTGATTTACCATATTCTGCAAGGAACACCCAAGTTTTATTCCTAAACTTGGTATGTAAATTTGTGGAAATGAGCTCTGTCAACACGAGTCCTTACACTGTTGGAACAGCAGTCTTAGTGGTGATCATGGTGGCTTCCCCCCGTGACACAGAGTAAGCAGCACTTTAGTGAAATCCATGGGTGATCTTCTGGTTGTGATGCATTCACTTAAAAACTTTCTGAGCCTTTAAGTGGTTTGAGTTTTAGAAAACAAGAAGAGCAGTAGAGGAGGAATAGAGCTAGATCTTAGAGGTGGGTCTTGTGTGTTGTGCAAATGTAGTCTTCCATTGCAGATATCTAGGTGTTCTGATGGTTTGTGTAAATTATACTTTTAACCTTTTTTTTTACAAGTGAAAGACACATCAATGCTGCACTGGGAAAGGCTGTGAACCCTTATAAACAGGAAAGTGATATGAAGCAATTCAAGGGAGATTAAAGAATGGCTGGAAAACAACAATACAAGTTCCAACTTGCAAACTGGAGAAAACAACTTGATACTCAAATATGCAGCAGGAATGAATTGTGTGGAGGAGATCTGGAAAAGACAGCAGCAAGCTGATTGGAAGTGATATTTCTCAAGCTGCAAAAGTGGGCAATGCGTGGGAAGGCACCCCTATGAGAAGGCAGAGCATGTGGAAGATTGCCCTGAGTCCTGTGTATTGCACTTCTAGGCAGTCAGAGGCATGCTGGATGGGATTTGAGAACATCAATCAAAAAAATAAAGGGGGGAGGTTGTATGTGAATATGCTATCCCCAAATTTTTCTCCATGAAGTATTCAGAAGATGACAAAGAGGGAATAGCCAGTGTTAGAAAAAAGTGAATGCTAACCAGATTTACTTAAGGCTGTATGCAGGGGAATAATCAGGAGTAATGGGAGTGCTCCTATAAAAGGAACATTTAACTGAATATCAAGAATCTCCTCGATGGAGAGATGTGCAATGCCTTGCAAGGAAATGGTGGAAACTTCATCCCTTGAGGACATCTAACACTTGACCACACAAGACACCAGGGAGTTTATTAGAGGAAAAGACTGCATTGGGTAGGTGGGGGAAGTATGATACAAAAGATCATCTTAAGTTTATCTGAATGTATGATATGAATGGGAAAATGTGCACCAGGATGTTTGTGATTTCCACATTCAACAGTCTTAAGCTTTCTTTCCTTTCCTGTGATAAGAAACCAATTTATTCCCAGGTTCCTCTTTTTTCCATACTACCAACTTTACCTTTCCTAATTTGTGCTGTGAAGCAATAACCTTAGAGCACAGAGGAACGGGAGGGTTTTTCTCAGAATAAACAATAGTTTTGTTGAAAAATCTCATTTTCTGGCTGGATAATGCCAAAACATGGGGCAGAAGGTCATGTTGAACTTTCTGGGTTGTCATCTCAGTGCTCCTTCCGCACTGGGAAGAAGCTCAGTGTTCTTCATGGAGGCATGTGGCTTTTAGAAGTTCTCATGTGGATTATATAAGCCACTTGCATTTGCCATCAAAATTGGCTGCCAGAATGTGAATTGCCCTGTTTATTTCATTGGAATGCTTAAAAGCACTGCTATCCATACAAAAGACAAAACCAAAGTTATACACACAACAAAAAAAGTTTACAGACACAATATTTTGAAAAGCAGGCACCTCCCGTGTGTGTGAGCGCTTCTCTGTCCTGCCAGGCGCTTGCTACTGTGGGTGTACAGCAAGCATTGCATTCCTGTGGGTTTCAAAGGCTTTTATTGTTGCCTAGATATTTGGAGATCAGGTGGTCAAGCTGTAGCTTCAGAGCAATAGGAGCTAACCAGGGAGAGGGGAAAAAGAGATAAAAATGCGCATCTGGATGTGCCTGTCTGTCAAGCAGCTCCTTGAGAGATGTCCCATCACTGCAGCCCTTGTTTAACCCTATGCTGATTAGCCTTGACAGTCTCTCTTGACAACTTGCCCTCTCTAATATCTAAACCTGTTCTTGGAAGATAAGGGCTTTGTGTACTGGTTATAAACAGCAAGGCTGGAGTGGAAATTCATAGGGCTGAAAGTCAGAGAGCAACTTTGCAGCTACACTGAGAAAACCTCAGAAAGGGCGAGGGCTCCTTCCCTCTGCACGTTCAAAGCACTGTCTCCTTCAGTCTCTCACAGGGCATTTGTTTGTGCTTTGCGTTGTGCCCCCACCTCCACAGGTCCTCGTGTTGAAAGGTTTTTCTTGTTTTATTCTGGAGTCACTCTGGTTGCATTGTCCTCTCCCAAGCACTTTATTCTTTCGACAAAGTAGGGTGCTTGTACACCATTGCTGAGGTGGAGGGAAAATAGCAGGATTGGAGGAAAAACACTTGCCCTGGGAAACCTTTAAGGATCTTGTTTTGATTTTGTCTCAGAACAAAAAGCTTGTTTGTCCTTCAAAATGACCATAGTTCCACATTTGTCTTCTTGCTCTTAATTGCTTTGGAAAATTCTCATGTTTATTCACTATTGGAGTATTGAGAGCCCTCCCACCACCGTTCTTGCCATGTCTTTTATCAGATCTTGTGGAAAAGCTGCACTTAGGGGGTTCTCCTTCATTAAACGATAAAGGAAAATCTAATACTTCCATTTTTACATGGGTGGAATGAATAGAGCTGCAAATGGTTCTCAGTGAAGGATAAGTATGGATTTGGTCAGTTCAAACCAGATTATTTGGCTTTGGTAAGAGAGTCTTGAAAGTCATATAAAGAAATTGGACTAGAGAATAAAGATATCAGCTGTGAAAGGGTGCAGGGCCTTTGAGCTTCCTACCCCCTGTCCTCCAGCCTTTGTGTTGTCCCAGACTAATATTCCTTTTCACTTGCCCACCTGCTTGGCAGTTTACAGTGGGCTTGCCAAGACAAAAAAGGGGAAAAACATGAGAAGCTAGAGAATAGGTTCCCAGCCAACATCCAGGGGAGTGGAGGGGGAAGGTTTGGGAAGGGAAGGTTTGGGAAGGTTTGGGAAGGGAAGCTTTGGGAAGGGAAGCTTTGGGAAGGGAAGGTTTGGGAAGGTTTGGGAAGGGAAGGTTTGGGAAGGGAAGGTTTGGAAAGGTTTGGGAAGGGAAGGTTTGGGAAAGGAAGGTTTGGGAAGGGAAGGTTTGGGAAGGTTTGGGAAGGTTTGGGAAGGTTTGGGAAGGGAAGGGAAGGGAAAG